ATATATATATATATATATATATATATATATATATATATATATATATATGTATGTATGTATGTATGTATGTATGTATGTATGTATATTTATATGTATATATGTATATATGTATATATGTATATACATATGTATATGCATATGTATATGCATATGTGTATATATATATATATATATATATATATATATATATATATATATATATATATATATATATATATATATATATTGTGTGTATGTATGTGTGTGTATTTGTTTATACATATATGTGTATATATACACATATATATATATATACATATATATATATATATATACATATATATATATATATATATATATATATATATATATATATATATATATATATATATATATTCATATATATATATATTCATATATATATATATATATATATATATATATATATATATATATATATATATTGTGTGAATGTATGTGTGTGTATTTGTTTATACATACATACATATATGTGTGTGTGTGTGTGTGTGTGTGTGTGTGTGTGTGTGTGTGTGTGTGTGTGTGTGTGTGTGTGTGTGTGTGTGTGTATGTATGTGTAGCTAGATAGATAGATAGATAGATTTATTGTATATATATAAACATAAATATATAAATATATATATAAATATATATAGATATAGATATAGATATATGAAATATATATATATATATACATATGTATATATATATATGTATGTATATATATATATATATATATATATATATATATATATATATATATATATATATATATATATATATATATATATATATATATGGATATATATATATATATATATGGATATATATATATATGGATATATATATATATATGGATATATATATATATATATATATATATATATATATATATATATATATATATATATATATATATATATATATACATATATATATATATATGTATTTATTTGTATATATATTATATGTATTATATAGTTACATAAAACTTACACTATATTTATAGTTTTACTCCTAGGTACCATCAGTAGATATGTAAATTCATAACTCAATTGGGATATGACAATTCAAATTTTCTGTGAACATAAATCAGCCTTTTACAAAACAGCATGACTAACTGTTTACAAACCCACAGCCCCCAGACCTGCTCCCTCACATGCTGAAGTACATGAAGAAGAACCAACACACAAAGCAGAAGTTACACAACCTCACACAGGTAACTCGTCTATCAGTGTTTTTTTTTTCCTTTTTTTTTTACCAAATAGATCAGAACTTACAATAATGATCCAGGTATATTGAAATTTCTGATCCAGGGATTTTACATTTTTATGTTCAGTGTATCCAATTCTTGACACATTGTGTTTGCACACACTTTAATTAAATACTGTAGTTTCCACAAGATACTATATATATATTTACTTAACATTATTTCATCCATATATCCTTGCTTTTCAAAAGGATAAAATATATCCTATGTCTGTCTGTCTTTCCTTTCAGATTGAAAAATAATAATCCTCTTTTTTCCAGCCTATTTTTAATCAGCATTTAGTCCTTTTATTTCATACATTCTAATACTACAACAATTGATAAGATAAACCTGAATTATCTTTTTAAGAACTAAATATCCAGAACCTCCAGTTGTGTATGGTTTTGAAATTTCTAATATTTGTAAATTTATGTATGCAATGTATGGTTACAGAGTTGTGTGTGCCAGGCTTTAAGGCTTTGGTCCGACTTGCAACAGACAACCAACTTGACCTGGAAACAGTTGATCTAAAACCAACAGAGAAAATGACATTTGAAAAAGATATTGGCAAGCTAAGTTTCCACTTAAAGAAAGGGGTACAAGTTAATGAACTGATGACAATGTTGAAAGAAGGTGAGTTCAAGACACTTAAACAGGAGACTCATCAAGCTCAGCTCTTAGAAGTTGCAAACAGAATGGAAAGAGCTACAGTGACAAAAGTCCTTGTACAGGAAGCTTCTGACAGACGTGATCGCAATATTGGCCTAAAATCTGTGATGCGTACATTAGAAACTGGAAAGGAATCTATGGAGCAAATAATCATGGATGTTTCGAAAGAATTTGGACCATCATCTGAGCCTGTAAAGGAGATTGCTGCTGTTGGACATCTTCTACAGGAAGGTGTAAAATGTGATGAGGTTGTCACATTAGTTGAAGCAGGTCTCCTACCAAGTCTGAAAAAGCCACAGTCACAGATGCCTCTCGTCTCAATGGTGGCTGAAAAGGGTCACGTAGGAAGTGTGTGTGAGGTTCTTGTAGAAGAGTCGGCAAAGGAAATGAAGAAGCCCAAGCCCAAGTTTGAGGCTGCACGTATGTCAGAAGTTAAAGAAATGTTGAAGAAGGCAAAGGCTGAATCTGTTGATGTGAAGAGTAAGTTATGTACTTTTCTAGGAAAATCATGGATATAAGAACATTCCTTTTTAGTTGTTTTAGTTTTCTCATTCTCTTATTTTTCTCCAATATTGCATGATTATT